AATTAAAAAATTAAAAACAGGTTATGGAGATGTTTTCTGTTGAGCTTCCATGCTGACAACGACCAGTCACATCCTCACTCCTGTGACTCAGCACAGGGCATCATTTGAGAGTGGATGTACAACATATGGAATCCAGCTTTCTCAAGTTTACACTGAGTGACTGAGCTGAAAACCAGAGATGAATTTACACAGACACTGTTACCCTCTCCTCATCTCTGCTGCCTATAATTTGACTGGTTCATATGCTCACTGGTCTCCTTTCTTAAGTACTGACTCAACCCCCAGAACCATGTGAAAGTTGTTTTTTCTAAAGCCTGCCTTGTCCCTTAGTGGGCCTAAACCATCACTAAAGAGGACTTTAGACCTGCTATCTCAGCAGTCACATTACCCCGGCCTCACTCACTCAATGTTTCCTGATACAGGAAATGCAGATCCTTGGAAAACCAAGTAACTCCCCAGACTGAATGGAGATAAAGAACAGAGAGCCCAGAAATAAACCCAAGTCTCTATGGTCAATTAATATTCGACAAAGGGGCAGCAACATAAAATGAAGTAAAAATAGCCTCTTCAACAAGTGGTGTTGGGAGAACTGGACAGCTACATGCAAAAAAAAAAAAATGAAACTTGAGCACCAAGTTACACCATACACAAAAATAAATTCAAGGTGGATGAAAGATTTAAATATAAGCCATGACACCATTAAAGTCTTAGAGGAAAACATAGGCAGGCAAATCTCACATATTTCATTCAGCAACATTTTTACTGATATGTCCCCTAGAGCAAGGGACATAAAGGAAAGCATAAACAAATGGGATCTCATCAAAATAAAAAGCTTCTGCACAGCTACAAAAAACAGTATTAAAATAAAAAGAGAACCAACTGTATGGGAAAACATGTTTGCCAATGATACCTCAGACAAAGGTTTAATCTCCAAAATATATAGAGAACTTACACAACTCCACTCTGAGAAGACAAGGAACCCCATTAAAAAATGGGCAAAGGGCTTGAACAGACATTTCCCCAAGGAGGACATACAGAGGATCCAGAGACACATGAAAAGATGTTCAGTATTGCTACCTATCAGAGAGATGAAAATTAAAACCACAGTGAGATACCACTTCATACCTGTCAGAATGGCCATCATAAACAAAGGAACAAATAACAAGTGTTGGAGAGGTTGTGGAGAAAAGGGAACCCTAGTGCACTGTTGGTGGGATTGCAGACTGGTACAACCACTATGGAAAACAGTATGGAATTTTCTCAGAAAACTAAAAATGGATCTGCCTTTTGACCCTGCAATTCCACTGCTGGGACTATATTCTAAGAACCCTGAAACAATCCAAAGAACCTATGCACCCCAATGTTCGTAGGAGCACAATTTACAATAGCTAAGTACTGGAAGGAACCTAGGTGCCCATCAGTAAATGAATGGATCAAAAAACTATGGTACACTTACACAATGGAATTCTATGCAGCAGAAAAAAAGAAGGACCTCCTACCCTTTGCGACAGCTTGGATGGAACTGGAAAGCATTTTGCTAAGCAAAATAAGCTAGGTGGTGAAAGACAAATACAATATGATCTCACCTTTAACAGGAACCTAATCAACAAAACAAACAAGCAAAATATAACCAAAAACACTGAAATAGAGGACAGGCTGACAGTGATCAGAGTGGAGAGGGGAAGAAATTTCAGGGGGAAAGGGGAAGGGTTTACAGGAACAAGTATAAAGGACACATGGACAATAACAAGGGGGGGATGGAAATTGGAGGGAGGTGGAGAGAGCTGGGTGGGTGGGCTGGGATCGGAGTAAAAGACAGAAAAATGTACTTAAACAACATTTAAAATAAAAATAAAGAATAATAAAAAAGTATTCAAACAAAATAAAAAAAAACTTATATGCAAAAAAAGAGAATGAACCAGGTCCACCTATGTGATCTTATTAACCTCTGTCACCCAATACATTAAAAAAAAATCTTTCTTTTAAAATGTTATTTCAGGAGCCAGAAAATAAGCAAATATTAAGTGAAATTGGAGTTCAAAGTACAAGATAGATTTCAGACAGGGGAGAATGAGTTCCAGGCAAAGGAAAGTGTGAATAAATGAGCAGAGGTAAGACTGCCAGAGATGCATTTAAGAATGGGAATAATCTAGTTGCAACTGTGAAGTGATAGGTGGGTCAGGACAGCAGATGCAGGAGGGGAAAGGGGGCAAGGAGATTTATAGCTCTCTTCCAATTCATCTCTGCTGCTGGCCTTGAAAATTCTGCTTGGGTGGAGGTGTGACAAATGGCTGAAGTGTCCTTGCTCTGTAATGAGATGCCTAGATGGAAGTTCAGTGTGCTGGGCCTAATAAAACTTTGATACAGAAAAAAATGTTATTTCATGCAAATTAGTTTTTAAAGATTTTATTTATTTCTTTTTAGAGAGGCAAAGGGAAGGCGAAAGAGAGGGAGAGAAACATTAATGTTTGCTTGCCTCCTGAGAGCCCCCTACCTGGGACCTGGCCCACAGCCCAGGCATGTACACTAGACTGGGAATTGAACCAGCTACCTTTTGGTTCTCAGGTGGGCACTCAATCCTCTGAGCCACAGCAGCCAGGGCTGAAAATTATTGTTAGAATAATTTGATAGATCTCATCTTGAGCTTTTTACCTCATTTCTTTAACTTAGATTCTAATAACTATAAAAATTTATTGAAGTTTTAGTGTAAATGAGGTAATTAACTAAATCTTAAGAATATATAAAAGAGAATAATATCCAATTTACAGGCTACTGGGGAAGACAAAAATATACATAACTACAATACAGTAAAAGAATATAACTCTAAGAGAACTGAAAACTAATTTTATGGTCCCAGATAAAGAAAAATGTTTATACCTGCGGTGCCAGACAAATCTTATCAGGTACATTATGTGCCATTTTTTCCTTTTCCCCTTTATCGGTGAGAAGAATATAGAATATGGATAAAAGTTTATAATAGCTTATGACTATTAATTTTAATAAGAGAAATAATTCAGGAATATATGCATTATTAAAAGTAATACAACTTCACATATAGAATAAAATCCCCTTTGAATACCACTCTCAACTCCCAGTCTCCCATCACTTATTACTCAAAGTCTTTCTTCATCCTGATCAATTTAGAGTTGATACTTTGGGGTCTTAGTACCAAAAATATAAATCAGCAGAAAATATATTGTGCATAAATTTCTGTAACTTGTTTTATAAACTCAATAATAAACTTATGTCTTATGTTAACACACACAGGTCTTTCTGCTGCAGCATATCCCTTATCATGGATATACTACTGTGTAAATAGCCCTTCCCCAATGGACAAATAGTTAATGTGTTGATTTTTATCTATGAAACACAACACTACAATAAATTTTTTTGAGCATTCATCTTCACTCACATGCACACATGTTTCTCTAGATGCAGAGACTAGGAAGATATAAAGGAATGAGCCCTGGGGATAGTGGGTGAAGGTCACTCCAGGCAGAGAGAAGATCAGGGACAAAGCTCTGAGGAAGAATGGAGCAAATTCATGGTCTGATTATTGTGTTGGATGGCTATTTTATGTTTCTAATGTGCATTGGAAATGTAGTTTAAGAGCTGATTTGATACACTCCCTCTGAAATCACTGTCCTAATATACAGTTGGAGTGTTATTTGTTCAACCAGCCATTGAGGCAATTCTAAAGATAGTAAATCAGCAAGAGAAAAAGTAATCCCAAAGACAAGATATAGTAAGAGGAAATGATATAGAATAATACACACAGAGAAATAATCTAAGGATAATGGTCTAAGAAGAAAAACATTTTACACTTTTCAAATCAGCACAGAGAAAAATGAAGTTTTGATCAATGCAACAGAAGTCAGACTAAAAAGAAAAGAAAAAACAAGAGCATGAGAAGCAAACTAAAATATTAGCAATGGGTCCAAATATATCAGTAATCAAAATATATATAATTAGTAATTATTTGATTGAACCAAATTTAAAAAATCTTGCTGCATATTGCTTAAGAGAAAATACTAGAAACAAACAACCAAGGCAGTTAAGCACATAGAAATGGATTTTGCAGCTGCCCCTATGTAAAGAGAATGAAGCCCCTCCCCTCCACCAACCCACTGTGTTCACCACACCCTCCAAAGAGATACCCAAAGGGAAGGTAGGTTTTGCTGAAGGGGAAAGGAGACTCCAACAGAAGAGCAAGGTAGTGAATTAAGTTAATACCTACAAGGTGAGATCTAAGACAAAAGACAGAGTTTCCAAAAGTTAATATTCAGATAGAAGTGGTGAATGAAAGGAAAGCTTGCAGATTAAATAGTAAAGAGAAATTAAGATTTACAGCAAAGGATGAAATCAAAATTAAGAAAATTCTGTACTTTTATACAACAAAGAATAAAAAACCAAGTGTTAATAATAGCGATTATATTTTTATCAGTAGTCCCTCAACACTCATTCTTTTAAAACTTGGAATATTTTATGAACTGTGTATAAAAACATATTTCTTCTTTCAATTTTTGATAAAAATTTTATTTATTTTTAGAGAGAGGGGAAAGGAAGAAGAAAGAGGGAGAGAAACATCAATGTGTGGTTACCTCTCATGTGCCCCCCTACTAGGGACCTGGCCCACAACCCAGGCAATTGCCATGACTGAGAATTGAACCGGTGACCATTTGGTTCAGAGCCTGCCCTCAATCCACTGAGCTACACCAGCCAGGACTAAAAACATATTTCTAAACCTTCTAAACACACATTAAGAGCAGACAGGAAACCCTCATGATCAAAACTGTGTAATACTTCTGTGCACAACTACTTATAAAAAGTTCAATCAAGGCAGGCTTTAACACTCTTGCTTATAAACCTCCCATTTATTTACTGTGAGGGCCAATTTGAAATCTTATTCTAAAAAATATAACATGAGAAAAATGTGGAGTCACACAATATCTTAAACATTTTAATACTTTATTTTTATTTAAATGTTTTAGTGCATTATTCCCTAAATGAAAACATTCCTTTGTCTTCAATATCCCTGTAGTATGGAAGTCTAATCTGCCGAACAACTCAATTAATGTGCTTTATTAAAGATTAGAAATTTGTATTGATGTCCTGTGCATTTGATATTAAATAATGAAATCCACCAAAGGAGATCAAACAGTCATAGACATTCAGCAGCCAGAGTTTGTGCTCAGCTCCCCCTGCAGTTTCTGTCACTGTGTCACCCAGAGCACAGTAGTACACTGCCGAATCTGACTCCTCCATTGACTTTTTCTCCAAGTGAAAAGAATTTGGTTGTCTACGGTGTGTGGCTTCAAAACCTTTGCTGCTTTCCTTAACATCGGCCTTTGTGGCTTTCAGGAGGAGCACTGGACCTTCTCCAGGATACTGAACATACCAGTAGAGAGTGGGGTACCGTGTGGATTCATAGGAGCAGTTTATGGTCAGGGAAACCCCTTTGGACAGGGTCACTTGGCCTTCTGTCTGGGTCACTGAGTTTCCGCGGGTTTGTCCTGAGAAAAAAGAAAAGAAAACTCTGTTATCATGGTCATAAAGCTCTTAAATGAAACCAAAGCTTAAAGAGCTGCTGACAGGGGAGAGAATCTATATTTTAAGAGGTGTGTTACTTACCAAGCACTAAGAGAACCACAGTCACTAAGCCTGGAGACGAGTTCATCTCTGCTGTGTTGCCTAAATAATGGTCTTGACACTTAACATGAGGAAATGTTGAAGTCACAGTGGAACACTAAGGCTTAGCCTACATTTCACCAGGGAATGTGTTTGTGTTAGGAAGTGTCACCCCCTGGTGGACAGGGACTGAAAAGAGATGCATGTTTCTCAGCTTCCTCCCCAAATGGCAGTATGTTCTCATCTCTGATTTTATTCATGAGGCACATGTCCCTCTTCAGGTGATGCTTAAAAATCTGAACAATGGCATCCTAAACTCTCAGGGGTTTTTTTTTCCTTACAATACCTGACACTGAAGTATTTTAACAAAGCATGCAAGATATACCTGTAGTTAGAAGACATTGATTTTCTTGAGCATTTTAATACAGTACATTATATTCTCATGTACCCTCTGGGGGCCTGCCCATAATCCACTGAATGTCAGAAAATGATCTGGGGCTGAAATCAGAGGAAATGATAAGAAGTCTAGTTTTTCTGATGGAGTAATTTTTAACTGTCCAGCATTGTACCCAATACAGAACAGTGACTGACATTTCTTACATGCCTACTAAATATTTATTATATTAAACAGACATAAACATTCTTTCACTGAGGCTTCACTACCACATGACATACCATATTTTCTCAGTCTTCAAATATTATCGATTGTAAGAACTGTTATCTCTTTAAGAATGTTTTTCAGGAAAAAAAATCATCAATGAAAGTACTAAATCAATGAAGAATGGTCTTAGATCAATATCTTAATCTCCAACTATATTCTTCCTTCCAAGGTAAGATAGCTACCCAATGTGAGTCAAGCAAGGAATATTAACCTTATTGCTTTAATGTAGATTCAGTATCAAAAATGCTTTCTACTACCATGTATATGCCACATTGTCTGACCAAACTTTAATGACATGATTCCCCCCCACAGAGTAGAGAGCCCTAGAGATGTGGAAATGCATGAAAAGCCTGGAGCATCCATTAGAACTCTCTTCCTTATCACCTATCAAATTGACACACCAGCTATTATTCATACAATACCTGATAGCAGTGAGTGATTAAAAGTTACAGATTCTGGGATCTCAACATCAATTTGAAGAAACATATTTTCCAGGATTGAGACCCACTCATATAAAAATTTTATACTTCCCCAGGTGGGTTTGTTACTGTGAGTCTGATACCCATTTACAAGATTTCATTTGTGGTAACTGGCCTAGACCAAGGTGATCCTCAAAGATGAGGGAGAAAGTTCTGGGATGTGCATGGGGATGTGTCCCTATGGCAACACAAATTTTTAAAAACTAGTCTTTTTGTATGAAGTGTCGACAGCAAAAGCAAGCAATTTTTTGGTTCACTTTTTATGGCCATTCAATTTATAAAACAAAACCAAAAGCCACTAAGAATTATCAGGGTAAACATCTGGAGAAGGACACATCTTTCTGTGAACATTTATCCACAGACACAGATGGACGCTTAGTTCAGGCGGGTTCCTGCAGTTCTCACTACACAGGTTCAGATCAAGGGGCTTCCGGAGTCCTTGAGTCAACCTATGAATAGTCTGCCGGAAGTGGACATAGGAAATCCAGGTTCAGATGCTTCACTTCTCCTCCACCTCCCAAGGTACATTCTCAGAACCTGCCACAAAACTATGCTAGAAAGGAATTCTGAAAAAGCAGCTATGGACTTTTATTCTGATCTACAAGGGGAAAACAAAATAAGCTGGGATAAAGTTGGGCTGAAAATAAACAGAGCAGCACATGGGTATACAGAGTTGTAGCACGGTACAGACAAGGGGTGGGGGTGCCAAGTGGGGATTTGTAATGGGGTCCAGAACTCAAGATCCAGGAAATGTTAGAAAAATATATATAGATATAGGGTGTCCTCGACCCCACAACTCTGAGCTGCAGAATTGGACACATGGAGCAGGGCCACTGAGAGTTGTTTTGAATAGAACAGTTTTGTAGATAACCTCTAGAATGGTTCTTTACATATCTATAACCTTTAACTGGTTTCATGGATATCTTAAACATCTGTGGCCATGCTTTGAGCCAGGGCATTTGGGAATGACTTCAACCCAGAATGTAACTGGGAGGCAACTCCCCCTGCTTACAAAGCCTGTGTAAGAGCATGGAGATGGTTGGCTCCACACCACAGGGCTACACCTGCCTAGACTTACTATGGCAGCCCAGAAAAGCTGGAAAAATGCTGCCAGTTGTGGCCAATTGTGGGAGGAGGTGGAAATGGTGCGGCAGAGGAAGATTGGTGCTGAGATTTAAACCATTCAGGCATCTTTTGGGACCACACAGCTTGGGCAGAGAAGAACCACAGACTGCTGTTTCTTTGTCTGAGATAGGGTGCTCCAGACTGGGAAGAGAGGGAAGGAAGGATTGTGCATTTGTGGATATTCTAAAGGACTTTGGGATCTCAATGAAGACATTAAGTCATTACTCTTCAGTTTGTATAACTCTTTACATAAATAATCCCTTTCCTTTTCACGAATCTCAGGCAGAAAGACATCTTTCCCTGGCAGTGGACAAGACGAACCTACTATATGGTGGGGGGCCCGGGAGCACAAGAGTCCATTCCATAATAGTGTATCATTCACCCCAACCCTGGGGCTGTTCTAACATGTACACTTTAAGAAACACATAATCAAAGCCAACGAGAACCAAAAGAAGAAACGTTCTGCCTTTTGTGTCACATAAGAAAACCTGCAGAGCATGAAGGAAAAATATTTGTTAAATTTAAATTTAAATTTTTGGGTTTTGTAAATGCATAATTTTCATGCACCTATTTGTAGTAAGCAATTCTTAAGGGATCAGATATATTTATATACTTGTGAAGCCATCACCACAACCAAGATAATGAATACAGGCATCACCCCGAAGCTTCCCCCTGTCTCTCTGGAACCCTCCCCTCAACATCTCCCCACAACCCTTTCTGCTTTCTGGCAACATCTTTGTCACAAATTCATTTGCAAATTTTATGATTTTACGTAAGTGGAATCATATCTTCTCTTTTGTCTGGACTCTTTCTCTCCGCATAATTATTTTGAAATTCTAGCATGGTCTCATAAGTGTCAATAGTTCATTCTCTTTTGTTCCTGAGTCCTATTCCATCATAGAGAGACAAAAATGATTTATTTATCTATTCACTTATTGATGTACACTATTTTTGGTACCAGTTTTGGACTGTTACAAACAAAGCTGCTATGAACATATGTGTATAAGATGTTTTTAAGCACATATACTTTCATTTCTCTTTGGTCAATACCCAAGAGTAGAATGGCTGGATTGAAGATAGGTTTACAACTGACTTGTTAAAATTAATTACTTATTCCAGTAGCACTTTTGTACATACCCTTAGGTTTTCTACTAGATGATCACAATGTCTGTGGATTAAGATAGGTTTATGTCTCCCTTTCTGAACTGCATGCTTTTGTTTCTTTCTCTTGCCTTACTGCACTGCCAGAACCTCTACTACCATACTAAATACAGAGGTGAGAGACAAAATTCCTGATCTTAGGGGGAAAGCATTCAGTCTTTCACCACCAAACATGACATTAGATGCAGGGTTTTGTAGAGGCCTTTCATGAAGTTGGAGAAATTGCCTTTGATTCTGAATTTGCTGGGAGTTTGTAATGAGGAATGGAGACTGGGTTTCTCAAATGCTTTTTCTGTACCTGCTGAGGTTACTGGAATTAATTCACCATCTGCTGATTATCAGTCTCTTTGAATATATTATTAAGTAACTGTCACAATCAAATATTAAAGAAGACATTACTCTTTCAGTTAACACACAGTGAAACAGAGCTCACAAGTGCCTAGAAAGCAAATGGCATAGCTAACAGTTTTTACCACAGTTCTCTGTCATAGCAAATTTCTGCTCCTTGGTTTTTTCACTGCTGATTATTTTCAGAGAAAATTTGAGAGAAAGACTAGAAGGTAGCAAAATTACTTCTTGAGCCTTTGAAATATCTCAAGACTTCATGTCAGCAGGTCCTTTATTTATGCAAATGGAACTAATGAAAATAAATAATTGCAGGTTTCACTTTTTCAAAGAGAGAGAGAGGGAAACATGAAGTACACAAACTACATTTCAGAAGCAGACCACTAGGTAGTGTCTTGGCCATTCCTTTTAGACTAATTATTAGACATGTGACTTGAAGAATGCACTGCAGCAAGGGTGACGAACTCTTCCAGACTTCTGTGAGTCACCAGGAAACTGAAACTTCACCCATGGCTGGTGATCACGTTCTTTCTCTGCCCTTAAAGCTTGCTGGTGATAATGCAGCTTACACCACAGTTTTCAAATTAATCAGTATAAGTGGTTTTCAAAAAAAATTTAAATAATTTCCTTATGATGAAACAATTCTTCTGAGAGCATAGTCCAAAAGGTGGAAAGAATTAGAGTTTAGGAGGTCTGTCCAGAATGTATCCAGCCAAGAAATATGAAAAGTAGAGACATTTATTGAAAAAGATACAAGATACCAGAAACATTGTACTTAAGACAATGATACCTCAGTCCTCTTCAAAGTAGCCTTAGTACCTCACACAGTTCTCCGAATTGCCATCAGCTGCCCCATCATAGATTCCTGAATTTCACCAACAGTCTGAAATCTCTTCCCTTTCAAAGGTGATTTCAGTTTTGGGAAAAGCCAGAAGCCACAGGGCACCAAATCTGAGGTGTAGGGGTGGCTGAATCACCTGGGTGCTTTGATGTCTCACCTAAAAACTCTGCACCAGATGTGATGCATGAGGTGGCATGTGGTTGTGATGAAGCTGCCAATCACCAGTTCCCCAGAGCTGTGCCCTTCTGAACCACCCAAATAGTTTCTGTGGGAAAATGTTTAAGATCAAGGCAAAATATGGAGCAGATTCATTGTGCTCAATCATTTTGAATGTGACAGCCACACAGTACACATGCTCACTCAACAGCATCTACCCCACACACACACTGACTAGTACAGTAAAGTCATCATTGTTCACACATGCTCATGTCAGTCCACTTTCCTTAGTTGCCAGATTATATCAATGTCACACAAACCATTCTCAGTATATTAACACTGGCTGGTCTTTTTCCAGACATACCTCATACACCCAAAATATTGAAATATTTACATACATTTTTCCAGGAAAATGTGGAAGCAACACAAATGCCCATCAGCAGATCAATGGATAAACAAACTGCAGTGTATACACACACTGGAATATTATTTAATTTAAAAGGAAAGAAATTCTGACAAAGGCTACAACATGGGTGAACCAGCAGGATACTACACTAGCTGAAATAAGTTACCATGTGACCAATATTGCTGCATCCCACTTTATGAGGTATCTAAAACAGTCAAACTCCTAGAATGAGAACTCAAATGGTATTTTCCAGGGGCTAGAGGGGTGGGTGAAGGTGATGTTATTGTTAACAGAGCACAACTTTTCAGTTCTTTAAGATCATCAGAGTCCATTAGGTGTAAATGTCCTTAATATCACTCAGTTGTACACCTAACATGGTAAAAATTTATGATAAAATGGTAAAAGTATAAGAATATTAAAAATGTTAAAAGACTCCTTTTCATATTTTTACTATGCACATCTGGTTTCCCAACTCAGTTATAAGATGGAGTTTACAATATAAGATCACTCATTAAACATCCATGATCATTCAAATTTTAAGGCACTGAGACAATGAGGTTAGAGGTAAGTGGAGGAAGTATTAGAACATAAGGGTTTTAGATTGTGGAACATTGAAAAAAGAGAAAAAAGAGGGCATGACACTATGAAAATGAGCCACAGAATGGCAAAAAATGCTTCTAGAAGAGTAGTGAATTGAAGAGCAAGCATACAAAAAGTTAGTTCACACTTTGCTTCTTCACAATGTCCCCCTAGAGCCACCAATTATTGCTCATTTCTGAGTGAGACTGGTGGGATTTACTGCAAGTAAATCTACACAAAGAAAATAGTCTCTTCCATGCTAGTGTGTTACTAAGATGATAAAAACACAAAGTTTGTCATATTGTAGGCACCTTAGAAATTCAAGGAGGGTATCTTAACTCAGCTAACAAATCAAAATTAAACTAACTCATTAAACAGTATAAAAGAACATAACACAAAAACAGTAAAACCACAGAAAGATTTCACAGCCTTCCTCTTCCAACAGTGCCTGTGTCATAAAATACACTCAATAAATATTTATTGAACAAATTGATCTGAAAACCTTACAATACCACAGGCTTTTACCAATGTTTAGATTCAGTTGTTTCTGAATTTCCTTAGTTAACTCTCCTAGCTCAATGTCTCACCAAACAGCAAATTGTTTGTTTTGGTTGCTCTTTGTCTTCAGGAAACAACTTCAACCCAATTTCTCAACATATAGATATTTTTGGTTAATAATAATTGTACACATGGTCTATGGACCTAGAGAGATATTTTCATAGAGTGCTTTCCCTCAATCATCCTACACCTGTGGCTGTGCTACCACAGCCCTGGCCACTTCCTGACTGTGCTGACAATTCCTGGCCTTGGTCCCTACAGCAGGTGGATGCATCAAGCAGAGTCCTGGGGTTTTTATTTACCTTCTTCCTACACACCTCTCACTGTGGGCTCACCCAGGGCACAGAAATACACTGCAGAGTCCTCCAACTGTGAAGGTGAGATGACAAGGTTGATGGAATGGCTTAGTTTCTGAAACATCAGTGAGTAGCGACCTTCTGTGGCATTTTTCTGGTTATAGGAGTCCTGACGAATAAGGAAAATCATTGCCCCACTGCTCAGCTGCTTGTACCAGAAGAGGCTGTAAGTTGTATCCCTGGTTTCATATGAGCAGTCCAGGGTCACAGCTTTCTTCTCCTGCACTGACATTGCTGGTTGGTCTTGAGTTACCCTCTGGGCAATACTGGATCCTGAAGGGGAAAAAATCAGAAGGTTTGGGGATAAATAATATAGGAAAAAATTCTTTTTCCCATACTGCTACACCTCCTTCCAGGGGAACTTATAAAATATTGCCTGGACCCCCAACCCTTAGGTCACAGAGGAGACCTATTCCCACTGGGCATGCCTACCTAGCCACAGTGAAGCCAGGACCACCTCCAGAAGGCTGGAGAGCAGCATTTTCAAGTTCTTCCAACAGATGAAAACACCTTGTTCCTCTTCAGTTTCAGGGCTCTGCAAGGTAGGGTGACTCTAACAGGAAGAGAAGAAATGCTGGGCTGTGTGCTGCTGCTGCCCCAGAACAGGAAACAGGGTTTCCTGGTGCAGCCAGTTGCTGTGGGTCACATCAGCCTTCTCTGTGTACCAGCTGAGAGTGTCACCCAACCAAACTTTTTCAAGGTTTAACTATCTCATTTTTAAATTTTGTTTTTCAATATTAGTTTATGTTAACTTCAGGTGTACAGCATAGTGATTACACAACCACACACTTTACAAATGTGCCCCCTGATATTTTCAGTACCCACCTGGCACCATACATAGTTGTTACAATATGTTTTACTCTATTATCCCATGCTATACCATACATCCTAGTGACTATTTTTAAGTACCAATTTGTACTTTTAATCCCTTCACATTTCACACCCCATTTCCCAACCATCATCTTCTCTGGCAACTATCTTCAACACTTGTTATTGCTCTTTAAATGATGATAGCCAGCTTAACAGCTGTAAGGTAGACCCTCATCATAGTTTTGATTTGCATTTCTCTTACAGCTAGTGAAGTTATGTCACTTTTCATGTATCTGTTCACCATTTGTATATTTCTTGGAAAAGTGTCTTTTCAGGTCTCTGCCCATTTTCTTAGTTGATTTTTTTTGTTGATTGTCTGTGTTCTTTATATATTTTGAATTTTAACCTCTTACTGGAGAAGTTGTTTGCAAATATCTTCTCCCATTTGTTGGTTGTGTTTTTATTTTGTTTACAGTGTTTCTTGTTGTGCAGGAGGTTTTCAATTTGTTCTAGTCTCATTCATTTATTTGTGCTTTTACTTCCTTGCTTTTGAGATCAAATTCATAAGGAACTCTATAATACCAAGGTTCATATGTATAGTGTCCATGTTTTCTTCAATGTAATGTACTTTTTCAGATCTTATATTTAGATCTTTGATGCATTTTGAATTATACTTGTGTGTAGTGACAAATAGAAGCCTTGATATGAGATGACATCCACCCTAATTATGCAGTTCAGCTCTGTAAAGCCATTGCTAGTTGTTGGGGGCTGCCCTGCCTGGTCTCAGGAAGCTGTAACCCCCCGTGACTTAGGCTGAGTGAAGGACCTCCAGACCAGGAGCCATTTAGGAGACAAAACTTATTTCCCTGGCATGATCATCAGCCAATGACAGGTAACAATTCTCTAAGAAAGACAATGAATCTAAGACAGACGCGATCATGTGGGATGGCCTGACGAAAGAAATTCACGGGGCTGTGGAAGTGAAGGGGTGATTGACATCAACCCCTGCCCCCTTGGCTTTGTCAAAGCCTGAGTCTTTGTTCTTAGATGTGAGAAATCCAAGTCTCCTGGCTGCCTTTGTCTTCTCTGTTAACTCAGAATAGCACGGGTGGCCCAGACGAGAAACGGCAGACCCCCGGGGTGATCAGGCCTGGGACATAGAACATGCAGGATCCTGTGAGATCTGTTTGCTGGAGGATGTTATTAACTTGGAATTTAAAAGCACAGACAGATAACCAAAACTGCCCTTTGAGCCATATGTTAAAAACTCCAAACCTTGCCCAGAATCTCAGCAGGAGTTCTGTCCCCACCTTTGTAAGTTGCCTACATCTTTTTATCTTTTCTGCCAGACTGTGAATCCACAAACTAAGTCTGTTTTCTCAATAAAAATCTGCTTGGGTATGGACATGTGGTGCTCCCCACGAGAAGGAGTGGCCATGGTGCCCTCCAGAAGAGAGGGTGGCCAAGGTGCTCCCCACGTGAGGAGCGGCCCTTCTGTTCCTATTCCCCCACAGGACCTGGTTGTCTCTGTGTATGTTTTTAGCACGTTTCGATGAACATGCACAGCCGAGATGGATACTGCTGGCCAGTATCCACCACAGCTAGTACAACAAAGTATTGTTGAATGTGGTATCAATTACAAGTGCTACAAAGGCCAAATAATGACTAAATCCTTACTAATATTGCTAGAGTGAATATTCATGAATAACAAAACAAACATTTGAAATGATGAACTATGTGTATAAAATACTCAAAAGTTCAAACCACCAAGCATAGAAAAAACTGCCAGTGGTGGAAGAGATGGGGCTCAGGCATACATTCTCTCAGACCACGAAACCGACATCTCAAAAGATTATGTATTCTATTGTTCCATTCATATGACATTCTAAAACAGGCTAAAACATAAAACAACAGACCAATGTGGAATAGGGGAGTGTGTGATTACAAAAGGACAGTGAAAGACAATATTGTTAGCAATGAAACTATTCTCTATCTTCATCATGTGATACTTACATAATCTACACAACATGTTAAAATCAAAATTCACAGCACTATACTCTGAAATCAGTCTGTTAGTATGTGATTATTTATTCAAAATTTAAAATATCAGAGAGATGCAAATTAAAACCACAATGAGATACCACTTAAAACTGGTCAGAATGGCTTCATAACCAAATCAACAAACAGAAAGTGCTGGCAAGGTTGTGGAGAAAAGGGAACCCTAGTACACTGTTGGTGGGAATGCAGACTGGTGCAACCACTATGGAAAACAGTATGGAATTTCCTCAGAAAACTAAAAATGTAACTACCTTTTGACCTGGCAATTCCACTGCTGGGGTTATGCCCTATGAATCTTGAAACACCAATTCAAAATAACCTGTGCACCCCAATGTTCATAGCAGCACAATTTACGATAGTCGAGTGCCTGAAAAGCCTAAGTGCCCAACAGTAATTGAGTGCATAAAAAAACTGGTACATTTACACAACAGAATACTATGCAGCAGAAAGAAAGAAGGAATGAAATCCTACACTTTGCTACAGCAAGGATGGAGCTAGAAAACAGTATGCTAAGTGAAATAAGCCAGGCAGTAAAGGACAAATACCATATGACCAAATTCCACCTGTAAATGGACCCTGGTCAACAAAACAAGCAAGTGTGCTAATTAGAACCAGAAACATGAAAGTGAAGACCAAACCGAGAGTAACCAGATGAAACAGTAGCGGGGTGCAACAGGGGGAAGAATGGGAAGTGTTGTCAAGGAACATAGACAAAGGTCCCTAGTCCAAGATAATGAGGTGAGGGGGAGAATTGAATGTGGGAGATGGGGGTGGGTTGAGCAGGGGGGAGAGTAATAGAGGGAAAATTGGGATGACTGTAATTGATGAACAATAAAAAATAAATTAATAGGATCAAGCAATAAGCAAAATCTTTTAAAAACTAGAAGAAAATAGAGATTAAAATGGCAATATAGAAATTTTCTGGCATCTTCATCCTCTCCCCACCAAAATACCAACTTTCACCATCATATACTAGAGTACCTTTGGAGAACTCCAGGAATCCAGCTCAGAAATTACACTGCAGGAACAAAAATGTCTGAGATTGATAGCATTTTAAAGGGTAAGAGGAACAATTTCACTTTACTTTAGTCAAACCTTCCCCTATGTGATGTAGCTCAGTGACAATAGAAATCTTCTAGTCCTATGGTTTTTTTCCCACAGGCAAAAGTGAGAGCAGGTGAGTGAGCACCTGGCTCTCCCAACATGGGGAGGCTGCCAAAAATACTCTGGCCTCATTCTTCCCCATCCACATACTGGGGTGTGCTACCCAACTGAGCAACTGGGAGAAGAGGAGCCAGGGCTCCCAGTGCTCATTAAAGGGCATGAGTACTACTACCCACAGCACAAACAGACAGCATCAGGATCCTGCTCACAAGGTACTAGGAAGTCTTGGCTAGTTTCAGAGCTCAGAAAAGGTCTTGTTCTGCAGGACTGGGAGGAACCCCACAACTTGGAACATCAGCACCACCCTAGGGAAAGCAAGCAATGGGGAGATGGTCAGCACACACTCTGGTTTTGCAGGGTAAAGAGAAGGTGATAATGCTAACAGTGAATTGACCAGAAATAAGAGAGGAAACCAATACCATGATGAAGGTTTAAAACTTGAGTGTGTCTAAGTATGTACTGACTCTGCACCTCTGGCTAAAGGATTTCTTTTTTTTTTTTCCATAAATAAATTTTCACCTACATGTTATAAAGCAGTTAAGTCTATAGTAATTGCACCATCCCTCTTTTTTCTAACTTGTTTTAAAAAGATAAAGCAATCAAACAGAAGCCATGCATCCCTCTCCCACCACCAGCCTTGGAGGAAATGGACCAATCAACAGTCACCTTGCTTTCACTGGACCAGAGCTAGTGGTTACAGTTAGGAAAATAATAAGAGCCATTGAGGTGTTGGACTACAATACTGGCCTTTCTTGTTCAAATGTTATAAATCTGATTTAGGACATTGAATTTCCTTATCCAAACAACCAATTTGCTAATAACTAACAACCAAAACTCACCCAAGAGTGATTATCTTTTTTTTATTAATCATTGTTCATATACAGTTTTCTCCTTTTTACTCCCAATCCAGTCCCCCCTCCCACCCTCCCCACTTCCCTCCCATTACCACCCTCCCCTTAGTCTATGACCATGTGTCCTTTAAGTTTGTTCCTGTGAACCCTTCCCACTGTCCCCCTTAAATTCCCTCTTCTCTCCCCTCCGGTCACCATCAGCCTGTCCTCTATTTCAGTGTCTTTGGTTACATTTTGCTTGTTTCTTTGTTTTGTTATTTAGGTTCCTGTTAAAGGTGAGATCATATGGTATTTGTCTTTCACTGCCTGGCTTGTTTCGCTTAGCATAATGTTTTCCAGCTCCATCCACGCTGTTGCAAAGGGTAGGAGATCCTTCTTTCTTTCTGCTGCATAGAATTCCATCGTGTAAATGTACCATAGTTTTTTGATCCATTCATTTACTGATGGGCATCTTGGTTGCTTCCAGCATCTAGCTATTGTAAATTGTGCTGCTATGAACATTGGGATGCATAGGTTCTTTTGAATTGGTGTTTTAGTATTCTTAGGATAGAGTCCCAGCAGTGGAATTGCAGGGTCAAAAGGCAGATCCATTTTCAGTTTTCTGAGGAAGTTCCATATTGCTTTCCATAGTGGTTGTACCAGTCTGCAGTCCCACCAACAGTGC